CGCTGCCCCACGCAGCCTACGCCCCTGGGGACCCCGGGGCATGAAGGCATCAGCAAGCGAGGCCCAGGCAGCAGACCTATGGCAGACTGTTTCCTACCCCGTGAAGCAAGCAGCCTGCACCCATTCTTGTACCTATTGTCTTCGTTTACCGTGGGCGACTGCTGAGTCTGCCTTAGCGCTCCAAAGCTGGTTTTGAGGCTGAAATTTGGGTGTGAAGCTGCACTTTCCTTCAGCGGAGTGTGCAGCTATTTAAATGGGTGCTTTCCCAGGTTCATATCTGCTGGCAGAGGAAAAAGCTCATAGAGTCTTTGGACAAGACCTCCCTGTTGGGAGTAATTTCCGACTCTTTCTGAGGAAAGTGGAGGTTCTCACACCAGAATTACCGACTTGCCGTTTGGAGCTTAAACTAGAATGTCGTCTTAACAAAATTATGAGCAACATCATCCCAGCCAGCCCTTGTCCAGGGAAAGGATGCCTTTCTCAGCTGACCCATATCCTGTGTCAGGCACAGATACAGCCTCTGACTTCGGAAGAGTTCAGACGCTCCTCCCTAAGCTTCCCAAAAAATGTTCGGTGGTGGGATCATGGTGTGGTGCTCACTGCAGTGGAAAGGCACAGATACTTAGGAGATACTGCTGCACGAGTATTTCTTATGAGCCAAAAGGAGATTTGCCTTTCTCAGATGCAACCCCTCGGAAAGGCCTTTTAGCTGAAGACAAGGCTTTAACTACCAGCAAAGCTTAAACCAGCAACAGATAGAGGCGAATCATTTCTGTTAAACCCTTTACTCTGCTGCTTTTTGATGCCTACAAATAACAAACCAAGTAATTACAGTAGGTCTACGTGCAGTTAGGTATAGCTGAAGGGCATTTATAAATTAGAAATCAGATACATACACACATATTCTAGCCATACTTAACATGTCCTACGAAACTTCTTGCCATATACGACAAACCACTTGTGTCATGGACCCTATCATCTTCAGTTACATTTCTAGACTATCTTACAAATGAGACCCACATGTGGTCTTTGGATACTATTCCACTAGACATAGTGCTAGCAGCCAATTTATTCCTTATCAATACTGGCCCATAATAAGCCATAAAATCTGTGAAACAATATAGGCTGTAAAGCTTATCCCATCTTTCAAGTTAAAAATCTCTTTCTCCCATTATGTGTGATAATAATTCACAATGGGGTATTTATAGAATGTTTTTATAAGCTTGCGTAAAACATTTTATATTTGCAATTAAAAAAAAGTCAACTTTATGTTGACAGTCTAAACATACTTGTTACAAACATAGCATTCTTTTTTTTCTTTCTTGAAGACGCACACAGTCGCCATTAATATTACTAGAAAGTATCTCCATGAAGAGGAGAGCAAACTTTTAAATGCATTTAGTAAATTATTTAAAGAAACAGTAAAATATACTGGTTTTAAACTATGCTGAAATACACCACTTCTATTGGGTTTAAATTATAATCAGGCATGAATTGAAAACATTCATACATGCTGACTGTAATCCTTTCTAAATTTCAAATGCAAAACCTAACAAAAATTCTGTTTTCCATTAGTGCTATGCAACGCTGTTAACTTTTGAGATATTTCATGGGGGCAAATAAAGGCAGAATACGACCTACAGATCCTCTTTCCATTCATATGTGACATATGAAACGTCTTTAATCCTTTTGCCGGATCTTCAGCAGAGATATATTATTATTGAATATGGTTTAAATAACTATCCAGCACTTTCTGTATAATTAATATTGCATATATTATGACTGGAAGTATGCAATCCATACTTTCAACTCAATCTGCCGAGTATAAATTCAAAGCTGGATACAATGCAACAGGCTGTAAAGTCCATCCAATACCTTAAAGAAATAATGTATTCAAAAGTATTGCTCTTCAATTTATCAAGCAGGCAGAATAGGTGCTTTGCCAACATTGGTGACTACAGTATGCCAAGCTATCAGAAGCAATGTGTTGCATAATCACCAATAACACATGCCTAGTTTCAGTCTAACAGCTCTCTATTTTTGTGATCTACCGTGTATTCATTACCCTGATGTTTCCTCACTGTCTGTCATTGATAAGACACAAAGCAACATTTGCATCCATGTTCATGTAATGGTGAAAGTAAACCAGGCTCAGGAGTTCTTCAAAGCTGAAGTTTTCTGTCCCACTGAATCTCGTTTAACTGACTTCCTGTGGGGCAACAGATATTAATCCAGATAGAGAGTAATAGCCAGTTAATTAAATATAAATTCTCTAAAGTGATGAACATACAGAAAAGAATCTGTGTTACCTTTCCTAATGCATCTTAATACCTATAACATAGGTTTCTGGATGCATAATTTACTCATGTGTGTTTTAATTATGTGAGGAAAAAATATGTTATGTTACCCTCAGATATTAAAAGCAATTAAAAATAAATCAAGAGTCTTATTTTAGCTGACAACTTTTAAAACGATCTTGAATATGTGCTGCAGAAATGATATATGACTTCTAATAAGTACACACCTCTATAAATGAGACAAAAGGATCTACCTGACACAAGATGTCTTGTTATGGTTAATCAACAAAAAATACTAAAGGTTTGGAAGCACCTGAAGGAGATAAATTGAATGTCAAATATGCAGTTAAAATGTAGTGAAGACTACAGGCTAATCTAACAAATTGTTATTAAAGAAGTTTAAATATTGGCAAACATTTCCAACAAAATTATTAATGCACTATTTCAAGAACTGACTTATTCAATAAAGCCAACTAACTGGAAAGGTTTAACCAATGAAGTGCACAGATATTAAGTTTATGTAAGAAAGCTCATTAAGAATGTTCATGGTCTTAAGCAATTAATTGGAATGAGGCCAATTAGCACTTCAGAGCAAACCATCTAAACAGTTCTGGAAAGAAGATATCAGACATCCTCGTAGATACAAGTAATCATACTCATGCTTGATGCAACTTCCCTGAAGTAAGCACAATCACACCACTGATTAATTTGATCTTCTCTGGACAGGCTCTACATGGGTAGAGTCTTCCCAGAGAAAGTGTAATATCTGACAACATGTTTGTTTGTTTGTTTGTTTGTTTTCCTGCCGAATTTACAGACAGTGAAAGTACAAGGGAATGACATCTCCCACAAGCTGCAGATTTCAAAAGTGAGGAAAAAGGATGAAGGCTTGTATGAGTGCAGGGTGACCGATGCCAACTATGGAGACCTTCAGGAATACAAGGCCCAGGCATTTCTCAAAGTCAATGCTAACAGCCACTCTCGGCGAATGCAAGCCTTTGAGGCATCTCCAATGTGGTTGCAAGACATGAAACCTCGCAAAAACATCTCAGCAGCTGTTCCAAGTAGCATCCATAACTCTGCCAATCAGCGCGTGCGTGCCACCTCCAGCCCTGAAGCAGCAGCCAAAATCCCCAAACAAAGTCCACAATCAGGTATGGCAAAGCATTTTGAGCTTTCATTTGATTGCTTACCAGCATGTAAAAGGAGGCTAACTCAACAAGGTAACCAGGAATTGTGACTAGCAAGAGTGTTGTGCTCATTTATTCTTCCTTCTTTCTGGCTCTTTTACTCCTGCTATCTGCTCACTTCCTCAAAGCTGAAGAATAAGTTTCTGGGCGGAAGAAACAAAAAGATGTATATTCCTATATGTGGATTTTATCTCTACTGGTTTTATCCACCTAAGGTTAGCTCTCTAATCAAAGCTTAGCTTTCCCTGTAGTGAGGAGAGAGAGAGAGGGGCATGTCAGTGAATGACTCATCTCATTTTAAGATGGCTGTGCATGATAAATTAAATAAAACACCCCTCTGGAATTGTTTCTTCCTGAGTTAAGTTCTATTAGTCACCTAACTTTTATCTCTCTAACGTGGTGAAATTAATCTATTTTTAGTATGAACCCTGTTTTCATAAGGAACTAGGCTTGTAAATCCAAGAGGACCTTAGATACACGAGATTGTTTTTCAATTGTGTAGGCTTTAGATAGGCTGCGGGTTTTTCACAGTATGTAGGTCTGTCATCTTCAGCAGCTTGACCATTGGCTTTGAAGCAAGAATTAAAATAGCAATGCCTCAATTTTCTGTCAAGTAGAAATTAACATACTGCACATTTTTGTTTGGGAGATTTTGTACAGCGCTGTATAAATAACCTATGAGCAGCGTTAACTCTGCTCTTTCACAGTTACGCAAAGGTACGTGAATACACAGGAGGTGCAACTGTTGACCATTGTGTGATGGCAACAGGGAGATGGACAGGATAAAAAATAGAGACGTTGTCAATGATCAAAAATCCTCTGAAAAACAAACTGTGCAAATTCAAAGGTTTGTGGGTTACTTCTGTTTACCCTGAGGGCCCAACGTAAGGCAGGAGATCACAGCCTAGCTTAAAATACGTAATGGAAGCTAACCTAGTTTGGTCTGATGCATCAGTTTTCTGCTAGCAAATGCCATGTAAACAAAACTAAAACTGAGAATGCAACAAATTTCATAGCAGAACTATTGTGAAAGCACTTTCATCTTACAAGCATACTATTAGAAAAGCATTTTGATAAGGAAAATACATTTCATTGACAGATTGGAGCAATATTATTATTTGTATGAAAATTATTATTGCTATTAGAAAAAATGATGTACATACTAGCACCATTTTACCTCTGTATACATTTTCTTAAAATTTATTTAAAAATTACATTCAATTCTTTTTTCCTGAAATGGAGCCACATTCAATTTTCAGCTCTTCCAAAAAATGTTTGAGCTGTTAGAGGAAAACAACTATTTCAATTGGTTTAAAATCATCATTCTACTATGGCTTTCCTTTCAGAGAAATGTATATACCACTTATTTTCCATCGGACTCATACATTTCAAAGTAGCAGACTTGTCCATAAAATGAAAACTATGGTTTCTGTTCAGTTCTATGTGAAATTAATTAAAATAGCCACATGTTTGTGAAGTGTATAGCTACAGACTACACTGCACTGGGGCCAAAGTGTGCATATAACAGCTAATCCACTAAATCACTTTGGATATACAATTGAATTTATAATGTTGTTAATGTTGTTAATATCTTGCCTGATTACTGGGCATTTATTATTTGAGAGCTGGTAGGTTATTACATGTAAAGGTCCCCATAAAAAAAAAAAACAAACACAACATAGCAAAGCTTCATCTCTTATTTTTTTCCTTGAGCAAGGATTACTGCAAATCAAGTGCAGACAATCCCAATCATAAATAATTTAAAAATTAAAAAATTAAAATATAATTTAGTTCATTAATTAATTTGTTTTATGATGGATCACAGATTAATGCTGTATTCATCAGAGGTGAGACTCATCTACTGAAGAAGCAAAGAGTGTTCCAGGAATCTGAATCAGACTTAATTTCAATTTCAGGGTCACTTGCTACACAGTAATTACTGTTGATATTTTTGATTAACGTCAGTTTAACTCTTGAGAACCAGGATTTACTTTCCTTTTCTTGAGAAAATCTGGTCCTAATTTTCCAGCTATGGTGTGATTTGGGATTGCACTCCATTTTACACTCACCCTACACTGATAGAGATACCCACAGGAGCACAAGGCAGTGGGGATTTTTAGCTCTATGCAATTTTGAAGAGCAACTTCAGCTAAGGAAGGAGACACATCAGTTGTGAGACCTCGGAAAAGCAGAAAGGAGGTGTCATAGGTAGTAACTGTCTTTTCATGATATCGAGTCAAGACGATCTCCTTATACTGTCAAACAATAAATTCTTCTTCAACATCACGCTAACTGTATATGCATGCACAAGACTGCTGTGTGATTGCATTACATGTAAACAATGTATCCATCCAGCCTAAAACACAGAAACATGGCTGAGTTCAAACATATCATTATTAACCACATTTGTATTTGAAAGACGTAGTGGACAATTGTGATGTGTTTCTTCATGTTGAGTAATACATTGACTTCAGCAATACTGTTCGAAGAGAGAAATGCTATTAACCATAGGTAGTTGTATCAAATACTCTCCAATATTAGAGAGCTGGCATATAGTTATTGGGAAGCAAAAGGTTTTACTGCCATGCTCACAGACTATTGCAAGAATACATTTACAGCAGAGGAAAACATGACACTGCAAAATTATTGGGAAATCTGTATTCAGCTATTTCTGAAGAACTCGACTCCTAATATAATAAAGATGGACTCTGATTATGTAAATATTTTGTCCCTAAAATTGATTTTTTGAAAGTTAGATAGCACTCTACTTAACTCCTTCTATCCTGAAGTATACTGCAGAATTCCGTTTATTCCTTAACAATAGATATTTGATAAGTAGCTCTAGAAAAGCAGTTTACAGTCACTGCCATTTTAAAATATCAGCATTTCCCAGTGGAACAGGTATCTCAGCAATTCTCCTCTTTTACTCAAAAGCAATAATATCTGTGATAACTATGAGGGGACTATATAGCCAGGGCTGACAAATTAATGTGATATGAGGTCCATTCAGTGTTTTGCCCTGCTCTGAAAAATGCTATGTAAGTGTGAAGAAGATATTTGTTAATTTTAGCGTAATGGAGATTCAATACAGGAAAAAAGAGCTAAAGAGAACATCTCCTAGAGACAGACATACTGGGAAGCACTAAACATCCACCTCAAAGTCTTTAAAAAAGTCAAGAAAGCAAAAGTCAAAGCTAACACAGCTTGACCCTTTCATTTCATATTCATATTCATAGCTGCAGCAAATGAAGTAAGCCATCACAGCTTAACAGGAATCTGAGTAATTTGACAGGCTAATCTGCATATATCCAGAAAATGTCCTATGTAGGTGGAGTGACAGACATTTTTTTCTGCATAATTCATGACAATGTATCTTAGTCCAAAGCACAGAGTTATTACAGAGCCTTGTAACTCTAAGCAATACTGCAATTAACTGAGGTCCAAGAGCTGCAATGATTTCAAGGAAAAAGAAGATAAATAATCTACAGCCTGCACCAAATCTCACTGTTTCATGGATATAAATCTAGACAAACTCTGCTACCTGCATTAAAGTCACTCAACATTTACGGCAACACAAAAGGCTGCAGAATTTGGTGTGCTGAGAATGTGTACATCCACCAAACTCTTCCTGTTCCGGCGATGCTCTGTTAAAGCACTCAAAGCCATTAGTTGCTTTTCAGACTTACAAAGGTCAGGCTCCGAGAACTCCAGAGGGAACAGCTACAAATGAAGAAATGACGTTAAGTCCGTTGTCTGACTGCTTACATACAGACTCTGTACATTTCTAGCAACTTTTTGTTGTTCCCTGAAGTAACAAATTCAACTATTGACCTAACTACATGCCAAAATTGCGATGACGGCAAAGTTACAGTGAGTGACTTGAAAAGGAACTCAAAGGAGAAGGCGGTCCTTACCTAAGACAATATGACCTGGATTCTTGCCATCATAGATCACACTGAGAAGCTGATCATCAGGCGTGAATGCAAAAGAAGAGGATGAAAACATATTTCTTCTGTCTGTTGATACTGGCAAACTGATGACATTCCTTCCAGCCTCCATTTTTATCTATAGAATCCAGGAATCCTTTATTTTCAACCTATTGTAAGCACAAATTTTATGTCCGATTTTGGAATCTTCTGGGATAGAAAGCAACTTCTGTGTTGAATTTTTTTTTCTTTTATGTTACATCTCCTCATAAAGTAAAGGGACAAAAAAGTCTGCTCTAGCGTCCACCAAGGCAACAGCCAGTATTACTGCTTTCTTCATGAAGAGAAAGACTTTGGCTCTTGAGGCTGCAGTTTCAGAAACTGTGAGTACTGTAGGGCTTGGAGACACCAACTGTTACTGTGATTATTGCACAGCAAAAAGTCAAGTCTCTGCTTCCGTGGGACTACATTAAAGCAAAAGCCAAACGGGAGTTTTGTTCTTCTTATTCTGAACCTTATTCAGCTGTTCTCAGAAATTCTTGCAAAAAGACGATGCAAGGACTGTCCTGTTTTCCACCTGTATACACTACAATCTCTGTTTTTACTTGAAGCTTACACTTTGGTTCCCTTTTCCTGAAACGAAGCTGCTCCAGTTTTTTAGCTTCTCTGAAACAATGGAATAAATTCTAGCTGTGTTAATTGATGTAGCCATATTAGCCAGTTAATTGTTGACCTTGAGACTGTAAGCATCTTCTGAGAAGTACTAACCTGCTCCAGATAACTTCATTGACAAAGCAAGGTCTGTTAAGCTAAACCCCCTGTTTTTAGGTCAGGATTTCCAATGTAGAATGAACTCACTACTGCTTTATGTTTCTTTCAAAAAAACCTACATCTTCATTTCTTATATGTGTATACTTACTAATAGAACCAAATGCATACAAGTATTTAAACTCCTGTTGCTAGTGCTTAGTCCAACTGAACCCAGTAAAAAACGAAACTGGTTTTGGTGGATTTGCTGTAACCATCCCTCACTGCCCT